TTGGCCCTTTTTAACCCATGCTTTTCAAGCCCTTTTTACTCTCTTTTCTTTAAAAAAGTTTTGTTTTTAGATTTTTTTAAAACTTTGTATTTTTAAGGAAAAAAATGTAAAAAAATTGTGTTGTTGAAATGTGGAGATTGGGGAAGTTAAGGGTTTCAATGCTTTTACTAGAAGTAGTGGGTTTGGCGCGAAAATTGCGAACGGAGTGAGCTAGGAAAACTTCAATATTTAAACGAACCGCAGGTGAGTTGCGAGACCACGAAGTGGTTGAGCCAGGAGGAACCCGGAGGGACGAGGGAGCCGACCTTGGGGGGCCTGGGAGGTTTTTCTTTGCTACTTTCTTTTAAATGCTAATATTTAACCTGATTAGGTTGGATATTAGGGGGAGCAGAGGGGGATGCTCCTAGTTATTAAGAAAATGAGTGGGGTTTTCTTTTTTACTTAAAAAATTTGCCATGTTTTATTCCTAATCAAATTCCGTAAGCGAAAGCTGCTACTAGTAAAGCTGCCAAGGAATAAAGCAATCATTTTCAGGCTTTTTGGTTATCTTTTTTTAACCAATAAACAAAGGCTACTGTGGCCCCAGCAATAAACCATAGAGCGAATAAATAAATCGGTATTATTAAAGCTCATGGTCAGTCTTGGGGTCAACGGTGAAAGTCTGTCAACACTTAAAAATTTAGTATTTTCACTCGTAAGGGGTCTGTTGAACTTGAGCCTGTTGTTGAGTAATATTTAGAGCCTGATTAATTTGAGCTTGCTCATCGGCATTAAAACGACTAGCTTGATAAATTGGATTACTGGCCAAGTTTAATTTGCCTGTTTGGTCGTAATCACTTAAATTAGCTGATTGGTGAATTAGCACATTTTCTTGTCGAGTTCGACCAAAATTGTCATATTCAACAACAATTTCGTCAATTCTTCAATTACGAGGATTTTGTCAGACATCTTGAATTATTTCGGAGTTAGTGCGGCTTTGAAAGCTGCTCGTTGATTGCTGGTCTTTAATTTGGCTAAAAATTTTTTTTCCTTGCTCGTGGCTACCAGCAAATCGGTTTTTTGTTTCTACATCTCTATAAGTTTTTCCTTCTAGACTTTGCTTTCTAGCTTTCGCATCGCCCATTAATCTTTGGGCAAGAGCAAAGGTTTGATAGAAATTTCGTCTTCTTTCTTCAAGTGTCATTTTTGCAATATCTTCACTGGCTTCTCTATCTACTTTTTCTACAAACTCTTTTCCGTCATTAGTCAACACTTTATGGATATTTATCAAACACTCAACCAACTCCTCCGGACAGCTATCAGCTTTAATTCCACTCTTGTCTAATCAAGAATAGAATTGTTCTTGAAGATTTTCAAGAATGAAACCTGGCTTATCGTCAATCACACCATCTAGTGCTAATAATGCTGTTTCCATAAAACCTTTTATTTCACTTGGTCGATCATTTAAATCCTGTCTCTTAATTGGTTCAGGAATTTGTCTTTGTCAATCATTAAAAAAACCAGACTTCTCAATATAAAGTTCTAATCATCTTAAAGTATTAACGAATGATTTTTGAATCACTTCCATAGTGTAAGCATCAACTATTATTTGTTGTTGTTGTTGTTGTTGTTGTTGTTGTTGTTGT